CTATACATAGGCTTCACCAGATCGACCACCAAAGGGGTCCAAGGTGCCAAAAGCTACCATGATCTGAGGCTGCATTAGAAGAGGGCAGAAGAGGTGATAATCCTTCTGTGCTCAGCTCTAGGCAGGCCAAATCTGAAGTGTCCTGTACAATTCTGGGCACCACATTTTAAGAATGACCTTGATACAAGTTGGGCTGCCTCCAGAAGAGCAAGACAGAAAGGCTTGGAACATGTTCCCAGCGACAGACCTTGTCTGTTGTCTGAGTGTCAGCCTAGCTAAAAAAGGGAAGAATTCTTTGGCCATAGCAACAGTATCAATATTGACATTCTTAAAATAGATGTACAGCTTCATGAATAATCTTTTTCTATTCTACTATGTATATGGAAATGTTCATTTTATTTGATACTTAAGTTCAGAATAAAAAAAGAGTAATTTAAAAAATACTGACATTCTCACTATAAATGAAACCAAAATATGTAAGTGAAGATGTAGTTAAACGGAAGGAAGGCTCACAGGTTCTCTTTCAAGAAGCAAATGAAGGAGATGGTTTTATCACATGCCCAAAGGCAACAAGAAATAATTTCATGGCACACTTGTCATCTTGCCCAGCAGAACTTAGAATAAGGAAAAAGGCTACCATAAAGATAACTCTAGCTTTTATACCAACATCTGCTGGGAAGGATGAACTTCAACATTTCTCTGACGAACTTGGCAAGAACATCTAAATTAATAAATCCATTTGATGCTTAATGACTTCAAATCAAAGGTGGGCACGAAGGATAGCAGAAAACATGGTGAAGAACAGAGTTCAGGTCAGAAGGCTTGGGGATTACTCAGGAACCTCACGATTATTTAGCATGAATACTTTCATCTGGAACCATAATTAAAAAATACTGCCACTGCTACTGGATCAATCTTGCCCCCTATGGTTCTACTCACAAACCCAGTAATTTTCTGAACCAAAAAACCCTTCCCCAGCCAGCATACCACTAAATGTGGCCTCAGTGCCTACTAGAATGTGAGCTCCTTGAGGGCAAGGACTGACCGTCTTGCCTTTTGTTTTCGTATTCCCGTGCTTAGCACAGGGCCTGGCACATAGCGCTTAGTAAATGCTTTTTCATTCATTCATGAGAATCAGAAAGGCTTGGACAGAAGTAACAATCATCACTACAAAAATATGAAACTGACTATAACCTGGCAGGATACAGCTGATTATCCACATGAGAGTCATTTTATAATCAAATCAACCAGGTAGAACAAAAGGCCAAGTTAATACGAAACTACAAGATAAAGATGAGAAGATAACTGTGTGCAAATGGAACAGCTCAGCCAACCTATTTAAGCTGCGGCTTTAGAATATTAACAGATTTGCAAAGTCTCATTAGGGGGTCTATGGGGGGTTGTGTGTAAGATTATGAACATCAAAAGAAAGGTAGAGACAAAAACGCGTTTGCATAAAGCATTGAATGTGACCCAACTAAGCTAGATCATCTGAAGAATGTTTATAAAGGAAAACTGGAAGGATGACAGATGGAAAAAGCCTACTGGCTCTGCCAATATTTCTCTAATCATCTATTTTCATCACTGATGACAATGGAATCACCTCCCTTGGTCTCTTAACAACTTGGATCCCAAAGTGCTACGATGAATTGCCAGCTGAACCAGCCCAAGCAGACGAAGCAGAAATCTGGAGGTGACACAATTTCCAAAGCACTGAGGCACTGATTTCCAAGGTATCAGAAAAAGGGGAAGATACTGAATGATCAGGTGGACATCAGCACTGCCACACAAAGTTACTTTCTATGACAATGATGTGCATGTGTAACAAGGGCATTCTCGATGAAAAAAATGAGAAAGGAACAGGCAGGCTTGAGCTTCTAGAACGGACCACACCTTCAGATACACACACGATGGAAAGGTATATGTAGAGAATCAAAGACACATCCCAGAGACAAAAAATCTGTGGAGAAGTGGCCTGCTATCTAGGTAACCACCACTACCAAGTGCCACCTACAGGCCGTTAAACCCAAAGCTACAGCCCTGGACAGCAACATAATCCTCCCCCCGTCGTCCCCAAACAAAGATCGTGCATCCACAGCCTGCCAAAGTCCTTGGCACTATCAATGCAGCAGAGTTTATTAATGGAAATGACACTAAAAAAGCGGCATTCCCATCTACTTTGCTGATGCACCTGAGGAACCACTGACTGGAGTCTTTCCACCTGACTTGCAGCTGCAATCTCTCATATAAGTGTTATCTTCCCATGAGAATGGGAGCTCCAAGAGAGCAGGCACTATCTGACTTTGCTCACTGTATCCCAAGATCTTAGCCCAGTGCTTGGCACAGAGTAAGCACTTAAATGCTTTTCCACCTGTTCATCTTCATTTATTTAAAGATCTATTGGAAGTCGGACACGACTGAAAAACAACTGAACAACAGGCAGTTGGGGCAGCTGGGTGGCCTCAAGCCTGGAGTCAGGAAGACTAGTCTTCATGAGCTCAAATCCAGCCTCTGACAATTCCTAGCTGTGTGACCTTGGGCACTCTGTTTGCCTCAGTTTCCTCATCTGTAAAACAAGCTGGAGAAGGAAATGGCAAACCAGAAAAGCCCAAACAGCGTCATGATGAGTCAGACGTGACCAAAAACAACCGAACAACAACAAAATAATAATACGTACAAACAGGTAAATGACAAAAGTTACAGCTGCAGGTATCATCATTTACAATCACTTTGTGGCATCTCAGTCAAATGTTCTGGGGCTTTTTTATTCTTGCTTCTACCCTCCAATGTTCTTGTTCATACATGTAAACGCTTATAAAGTTGCTGGAAGTTAAACAAAATTGATCAAATAATAAAGCGTGCAAGATCTCACCGTGTTTATTGATTACAGAAAAGCACTGGACCTTGCAAAGCAAAATGTAGTCTTCAAGCTTTACTTCAAACAAGGTGCTTCCTGTGTACATGGAAAGATCATCCCAGAGTCCATGACAGATGCAGCCACAAAGACAACTTTATTCAACAACCCTCGACTGAAAGCCAGCCAGAAGCAAGACACTGCTATGGCAGCAGAGTGCTGAAAAAAAGGTCTTGGCTACTAATACGGAAGCTGTTCAAATGGAAGAGAGTGACATCCGCCAGACACTAACGTACTTTAGATTCTTTGGTTTTCAAATCATGTGACACATCTGATCGAATTAAGCTCCAGGTTGTTACAGGAACTCCTCAGTCAAATCCACAACCACTCAAAAAAGATCAAAACTCCCAGAAATCCACACAGAAAAACAGTCAACTGGAGACAAAATACCTGTTGCCCAACAGTGATTTGCGGTGGTATTGGGAACCCACTGAGTTGGTCCATCGGCTGGACACTGAACAAGGTCAAAGGCGGTTGGGATGAGAGATTGAAGCAGGATGGGTAGGTTTGAGAATCATCAGCATAGAGATGGTCATTAAATCCATGGGAGCTGAGGAGGTCACCAAGTAGAGTGGTATAGAGGGAGAAGAGAAGAGGGCCCAGGGCAGACCCCTTTGGGCACCTATAATTATGAGGGTGTGATCTGGAAGAAGTCCACCAAAGGAGACTGAGGAGTGGTCGGATAGATAGAACTAGGAAAGAGTGGTGTGCCCAAAACCTAGAGATACGAGAATATCAGGAAGGAAACAGCGATCAACAGTGTCAAAGGCTGCAGAAAGATCAAGGAGAATGAGGATCGAGAAAAGGACAATGGATTTGACAACTAAGAGAGTGGTTCAGTTTGGAGAAAGCAGTTTCAGTGGAATGATAAGGTAGGAAGCCAGAGTGTAAGGAAAGCAGAGAAAGTGGAGGCATGTATTGTAGATGGCCTTTTCAAGGAGTGTAGCCACAAAGGGTAGAAGAAATATAAGGCAATAGTTAGCAGGGATGGAAGGATCAAGTGAGGATTTTTTCAGGCTGGAGGAGACATGGGCATGTTTGTGGGAAGCAAGGAATGAGTCAGTAGACAGGGAAAGATTGAAAATAAAAGAAAGTGGGGATGACAGAGGGGGCAATCTGTTGGAACCAGGATGGAATGGGATCGCTTGAACAAGTAGAGGGGTTAGCCTCAGTAAGAAGGAAGGCCACCCCATCATATGAGACAGGGGTGAAAGAGGAGAGAGTGGTAGAAGGCACCTGAATGACAAGAGATGAGAATGAGGGGAGGAGAGGGAGCCCACAGCAAATAGCCTCCATTTTTCTGTAAGAAAGCAAGGTTCTCAACTGAAAGAGAAGCCAAGGGAAGAGGAGCCATGGGAAGCCTGAGAAGAGATGAAGAGGTGTGAAAGAGCTGCTGTGGAGAGCAGGATACAGAGAGTTGATCAGGGACGTATAGCAGGATTGCCTAATAGCAACGAGGGCCCAGTTGAAGTTGTGTATCATAAATGAGTAGTGAATCAAGTTAGAATGGTTGTGTGTTTTTTTTTCCACCTTCACGCAGCAGCACGTATGTTAGAGTGGAGGCAGTGAATGGCAGGCGTGATGCAAGGCTGAGGCCTGACAGGGTGTAATGAGCAATATAAGAGGACTGGGGATTCAAAAGAAAAGGCCGGTGGAGATTTGAGTTGGTTCACCAAGGGGAACCAAGATAGGGAAAGAGAGTGGCCAGGGCAGGGGAGATGGCCTGGGAGAGAAACTGAGGGACAAAGAGACTAGAGGTCATGGCGCAGACGAAGAGCGAAGTTTTGTAAGAGAAGGCAGAGGGAGAGGTAAAAAGTCAATAGATTATGGTCAGATAAAGTAGTTTCAGAACTCCTGAATAGGAAAGTCGTGTATTTGTGGGTGACGGCAAGATCAGGGCTATAACTATCTTTGGGTGTGGCACATAGGTGTACAAATGCTCACCTTAAAGTTTCCACATTAGACACGCCTATTTTATCATCAATTAGAAAACAATGAAATACAATCTAAGGAAGACAATATTACAAAGTTGAGAGAGCATAAACATTAGGAAACTGCTCACAAAGTCAGCTTTGCCCCTACATACCAAACGGGCCACTCAGCACCACATCTAACAGCGTGTCAATGTCTTCGGGCGCTAACCCAGACTTCCAAGCAATGTCTTCCACAGTGCGCAGGTGTCTCTCCTCCACTGATCCTTTTTCCTTCACCATCCTGATGTGCTCTAGAAAATTGAAAGCGAAACCCTGAAGACCATAGTTTATTGTGCATGGTCATTCCTAGCAGACTTACAATCTTGAATTCTTCATAAGGCTAGCCTCAGAATGATGACAACTTCTTTTTGCTCCTTACATTTCTAATATATTTATAGCAACCACATTTTTAAACTGGGAAAATATTCTGTCCCTGAAAAGTTAAAAATGTTGATGACTTTAGCCTTATCCATTTGACCTCTTGACTGTGCCACAAATTCTATTCTCACAAACGATGACTCTGTCCTATGTGTAACCTCAGGAATTCTGCATCTAACTCTCACTACAAGGGAATTAGGAAAGTGGATGGTAAAGTACGTTAAAACATAATGTTAAAAGATAACAAAAGGAGCTATTGGATTTATCCTATCTGGAATAAGGGTAGCACTGACCTCTAGGATAGCAATAGTTGACCACAAAAACTTCCTACAAATCTCTAGAAGTCTGTAGTCTTCAGTCATGATAAAAATAATTTAATTCTGATTTAAAATCAACATGGAAAGAGGTAGTTATATCATTGTGCTGAAAAGGTCCTTAGAAATTATCCAGTCTAACTCTTAGGTCCCCAGAAGAGAAGCTCACACAGATAAAAACGTAGCAGAAGCAGAGTTATGGCCCTGGGCCTCCAATTCCAAATTCAGTGTTCGTTTCACTATATACTGTATTGAAAGAAACAGTGATAACTTAAGAGGACCAGAAATGACTTCATTTAAGTGGTTTTCATGCAGCGACTTAATACCATCAAAAGAAAGACAATAAAGACATTATTGGGGAGGGATACAGGGCAGGCTACATGGCTCACAGGTACTTACCTAACGCTCGACAAAGAGCCTCACTCTCGTTGTATTCGGCGTATTCCAATTCTTCCTTGTCATTCTGTCCATATTTCCAGTTTAAGGGTACAAAGCCACTTGTAATTTGTCTCATTTTCCATGCTAAGGGATTGGTTTGTATAATAGGAATAACTGGTGATAAATCAGCCTCCCGAGTAGACATCACCACAGAAGTTCTACAAGTAAACAAGTGTTAAAGTGGAATGTTCTTTTCGTTATCACAAGATAGCCCCAACCAACAAAGACTACAGGTAACTCTGGCCTCCAAGAGGTAACAGTACAGGCCACCTCCGAAGGCTGTGCACAAGTGCTGTGACACCCTTCCAGAACTGAACTTCCTCTCCATCTTCTTTGATCGAGCATCCCCCCCACCCCTGCCCAATCTGCTTAGGTAAAACTTCCTGGTTAAAAAGCCAAAAGAGAAGGCCAAGTGGACTCAAATATCCACAGCCTTTGTTTTCTCAACAGACAACCAGACTGCCAAAGGTGCAACTGCATGACCTTTGAACAGGCAACAACTCAAGTTTAAATTGAGACAGGCAATAGAAGGATTAGCATCTCCACTTTACTGACAGGTAAAAGTAGGCTCTGGGTAAGGAATTTAGGATAATGGTTTTAGAGGCAGCTAGGTGGTTCAGCGGAGAGAGAGTGGGACTTGCAGTCTGGAAGACCTGCATTCAAATCCTGCCTCGGATACTTCCTTAGCTGTGCGACCCTGGGAAAGTCACTTACCTTCCCTCAGCCTCAGTTTCCTCATCTGTAAAATGGAGACAACAGCAGCACCTACCTTACAGGGTTGTTGTGAGGACTGAGATAACATACCTAAAACACTTCAAACAGCTGTGTAAATGCTGGCTATTCTCAGAGTCAGAAAGGTCCGTGGGTCATTCCTTTCAGAGATGGGCAAAGTGAGAGATTTGATTCGCTTCAACTCAACAAGCTTTTGTTAAAAAGCACCTACTCTGTACTAGGGTTAGAGACAGGTGCTTGTTTAAAAAAGCATCTACTCTGGGCTAGGTCCTGGAGACACAAAGACAAAAAAAGGAAACAATCCCTTCCCTCAAGTAGCCTACATTCTACTGGAGGGGAATAATAAGTATACAGATGAGTAAACACAATTTTTTTTTAATCTCACAAGAAGTATGACTTAACTGGTAAAGGACTCTCAATAGAGGGTCGTCTGGGGTAGTGACAACCAGAATATCATAAGAGGATTGGGGTGTGTGTGTGTGTGTGTGTGTGTGTGTGTGTGTGTGTATTAGCGTGCACATGTGAAAGGCTAGTCTTTTTGACACCGAGGCCAATTCTCTGTCAAAAATTTTCTGGAGGTAGGAGGGAATCAGGAAAAGCAGGACCTGGCACCTGCCTAAACCTGAGATGAACAAAGTACAAGGCACAGGGAAGGAAGGAGCATACTGGAGGAACATGGGTTAGATTTGTAATTCAGTTGTTTTTCTATCGTCTGACTCTTTGTGACCCCATTTGGGGTTTTCTTGGCAATGATGCTGGAATGGTTTGCCATTTCCTTCTCTAGCTCATTTTACAGATGAAGAGACTGAGGCAAACAGAGCTAAGTGACTTGCCCAGGGTCACACTGATAGTAAGTGTCTGAGGCTGGATCTGAACTTACGAAGATGAGCCTTCCTGACTCCAGGCCTGGAGCTCCATCCACTGCAACACCTGGCTGCCCACGTGGGAAAGATACAACCATGCAAACACACAAAGGAGAAAGTCATGTGTGAGGAGCAGCTGGATGGCCAGCAGTTCAGTGACAGACAGAGCTCCCTGTCTCTAAACCCGGCACAGGACTGGAAGTCTCGTGGCCCTTTGCCCAGCTGACCTGGGCAGCCTGTGAAGCAGAGGGTGCCGGGAGACTCGGTTCAAGCGCGCCACGCTAGCGAGCCGGACCTGAGGAGCAAGCGCAAAGGAGGGGCAACGCGGGGGAGGGGCGAGCGCAAGGGAGGGGGCAAACGCGGGGAAGGGGCGAGCGCAAGGGAGGGGCAAACGCGGGGGAGGGGCGAGCTCAAGGGAGGGGGCAAACGCGGGGAAGGGGCGAGCGCGAGGGGGCAACCGCGGGGAAGGGGCGAGCGCAAGGGAGGGGGCAACCGCGGGGAAGGGGCGAGCGTGATGGTCACATGACACTTGGGCACGTCCAGCCGCCCAAGCACGGGTTGGGGGTGGGGTGGCGATGCGGCGAGTGGAGGCCTAATCCCAGCCCACTCCCCACCTCCCGGCCGCCGCCGCCCCCCCCTCCCCCGTGACCCCAAGGCCTTCCTCCTACCTTTGGAACAGCCTTCTTCAATAATGACCACCCTCCCCCTGCAGCAGGTAAGGGGAAGCCAGGGCTAGCTCACCTGATAGCAAGTGCTAGCCCCGACCGCCCCAAGCACTGTTCCCGCGCTGACTCTCCTATTCGAAAGTGAGAGCCCCGCCTTGCGCAAGCTCGGGCGCCCAAACTGAGGCCTCCGAGGGGCGGAGCGAGCGGGCGAGCGGGAGAACGCGCTCCCTAGGTAACGTAGACGCACGCGCAGGCGCAAAAGTCGATCCAAAGCTGTAGATCCATTGCGTGGAAAGCGCCTAATTGATCGGTTGCTGACCTCTGATTGGTTGGGGCTCAGCTGATTTGACTTTGATTGGTTGAGGCCCAACGGACTGCGGTTTTTCGAATGTTCTCAAAATCTGGGACGGGCACAAACTCGATCTGGTTCATTTGGGAGTCTAATAGCGGGACTTGCCAATGACTCCTTTCTTAGTTTATCTTCTAGTAGATAACTGTAGATTCTCCGTCTCTCCCATCCCCAGTTGTCCCTACCTACGGGCTCCTTCCCTGTTACCTACAAACAAACCCATGTCTCCATTCTTTAAGATCAACAACAACAATAATAATTATAATTATAACACTCCTCTTCAGTAGACCCTGCCATCCCTTCAAGCTATATTTCTCCTCCCTTCAAAAAACTATACTCGGCTTACCTCTCTTCTAATCCCTCTGCAGTCTGGCTTCTGACCTAATGATTCAACTGAAGCTGCTCTTTTCAAGTTATCAGAGATCTCTTAATTGCCAAGTCTAATGGGGGTTTTTCAAACCTCATTCTTCTGGACCCCTCTGCAGCGTTTGACATTGTTTATCACCCTCTCTAGATTTTCATGACACTATTCTCTCTTGGTTCTCCTACCTGTCTGCTCCCCTCTCAGTCTCCTTTGCTGGCTCATCATGCTCCCTAACTCTATAGATATTCCCCTAAGGTTCTGCCTTGAGCATTCTTCTCTTCTCCCTCTACACCCTTTCTCTTGGTAACCTGTTTAGTTCACGTGGGTTCAATCATTTCTATGTAGTTGACTACCAGATCTCAAAATGTCTAAGGCAGATTCCCCCCCCCAAATTCCTCTTCCAAGATGCTGTACTTCTGCATCACCATCCTGCCAGTTTCCCAGGTTCATAATCTCAGCACTGTCCTGCACTCCTCTCTCTCTGTCACCCCATATCAAATAAATTGCCAGACTTCATGACGTACCTAGCATCCAATCCCTTCTCACACAGCCACTACCTTAGTTCAGACCCTCTTTATCTCTTCCCCAGATGATTGCAACAGCCTTCTAATTGGTCTCCTGGCTCAACTGTCTTGACACACCAGTCAGTCTTACACACTGCTGTAATCTTCCCTAAGCACAGGTGACCTTGTCACCTGCTCATTCAACTCCAGTGACTTCCTATTCTCTCTAAGATAAAATAGAAACACCTCTGTATAGCTTTTAATCTCCTTCACAGCCTGGCTCGGCCAGCTAGGTGACCACAGTGGATAAAGTCCTGGGCCAGAAATCGGAAAGACTCATCTTCCTGAGTTCAAATCTGGCCTCAGACACTTACTACCTGTGTGACCCTGGGCAAGTCACTTAACACTCTTTACCTCAGTTTCCTCATCTGTAAAATGAGCTGGAGAAAAAAATGGCAAACTGCTTCAGTATCTTTGCCAAGAAAACCCAAAATGGGGTCACAAAGAGTCGGACAGGACTGAAAAGCAATTGAACAACAACAAAAATCAACAGTGAAAGACTTGGTAATTCTGATCAATACAATGATCCACCACAGTTCCAAAGGACTCGATAAAAAAATGCAATCCACCTCCACATAGAGAACTGATGGACTTAGTGCAGATTGAGGTATGGTTTTTTTTTCTCTTGGTTTTTTTTTTTCCTTTTGGAATATGACTAATGCAGAAATATGTTTTTTTATTACTTCAAATGTGTATCATAATCCTTGCCTTCCCAATGGATAGGGGGAAATATGGGGGGGGGGATTTGGAACAGAAAATAAAAATAAAATTTTAAAAATATTGCAGGTAGGAATTGATTCAATCTTTGTAATTGTGCAAAACACAGTGCCTGTTGGAGAGTAGTCACTTAAAAACTTTTTGATAGGGGCAGCTAGGTGGCACAGTGGATAGAGCACCAGGCCTGGATTCAGGAGGACCTGAGTTCAAATCCAGTCTCAGACTAGACACTTGACACTTACTAGCTGTGTGACCCTAGGCAAGTCACTTAACCCCAACTGTCTCGAAAAACAAAAAAAAAAAAACAAAAAAAACCCTTTTTGATTGACTGAAATTCAAAGTCTTCTGTAGATGTTTGTACACCATATAGGTGGCACAGTAATGGCTAGATTGTTGAGCTTGGAGTCAGGAATGCCTGAGTTCAGATCCTACCTCAGGCACTTAGTTGTGTGGCCCTAGGCAAGTCACTTAACCTCTTTATACAGGGGGAGAATATTAGCACCTAACTACCAGAGTCATTGTGAAAATCAAAGGAGTTAATGTGTGAGGAATTTTGCAAATCTTAAGGTGGGATATAAATACTAGTTAGCATCATTGTTATCCTCTAACTATGGCTGCCACTCTCCAGGTGGTCTCCCTGCCTCACATTTCTTCTGTCTCTAATCCATCCTCTACATGGGAGCCAAAATGATTTTCCTTAAATGTAGTCCTGACCAAATCATGGCCCTCCTCAGTAAACTCCAGTGGGTCTCTTACCTCCTGGAGCAAATCTAAGTTCCTCTATCTGGCTTTTTTTTTGGGGGGGGGGGGGGCTAGGCAATGGGGTTAAGTGACTTGCCCAGGGTCACATAGCTAGTAAGTATCATGTGTCTGAGGTCCGATTTGAACTCAGGTCCTCCTGAATCCAGGGCTGGTGCTCTATCCACTGCACCACCTAGCTGCCCCCCTCTATTTGGCTTTGAAAGCCTTCGAGGCCCTGGCCCCCTCCTACTTTTCCAGGCTTCTTACCCATTAATCCCCTTCTCACCTTTACAACCTACCTTTTCTCTGTTCTTCATGTCTCCCAGCCTTTGTACTGATTGTCTCCCACGCCTGGAATGTACTCCTTTCTCACTGTACCCCCTCCCTTCAATGCTTAATTCAGTTCAGATGTCACCTTTATGGAGAAGTGGGCAGAACCACATACACAGGGACAGCAATGTTATAAAGATAATCAACGGTGAAAGACTTAGTTAATCTGATCAACACAATGACTCTCCCCAATTCCAAAGGACACACCGCCACATAGAGTACTAATGGACTCTGAGGGCAGATTGAAGTGTATTTTTTCTTTTTCTTTTTGAAACGTGGTAACTTGGACATTTGTTTTACATGACTACATATTTGTAATGGGTTTTGTATTTCTTACCTTTGTGATAGACCCTCCGTTAGGACCCAGGGGCACCACGCCCCGGGGCCTCTGGCTCCGCTTCCCCTAACGGCTGTTACAACACCCTGGGTGAAATCCTCAAGGGTGGGGTGCAACATCCTGCTCTGTAAATAACCTGACCTGTCTTCCCGGCACTCCCCCCCAGACCCTGTTCCCTTCCCGGCACTCCCCCCAGACCCTGTTCCCTTCCCGGCACT